AGGAGACGTGCAGGAATGCTGTTCAAGAAGCTTCTTTTTGATTGTGCTGTGCAAGTTAAACGCTTAGATGCAGTGGTAGATGAAAAAAATGCTTTATTGTAGTTGAAGTCCTTCCTTGTATTGCTTCATCCGCTGAAAAAAAAACACAAAACACCACCACCACCCGTAAGTACCACCGTGTCTTAGTGTTGTCTGAGAATAGTTCATGGTACAGAGTTGTATACCAGGGTACTCAACACCGACTACTCTTCATGGAGCATTCTGGCTTCACTGCTACTTGAGTAGTAAGGCCGCTTAAGGTATCTGAGCAAGAGATGGTCAGAATTGACTTGTAATCACTCCCCAGTGCTTAAGCACAGTGTTATACACCATCCATTTGGGTTTAGAACGTATTTTTGCTCGAATAGGTAAGCACAGCGATCTAATACCACCACTTAACTCCAGGCTTAAATGCATGCCAGATTAGTAAATGCTGTGTATGTGAAACCTCCCATCGTAGGAACGTGAACAGTAGTGATGCTTCAGCTGGAACTTGCGGGAAAGAGGACGGATGCTGTGGGGTGGAATGGCAACTGGCAGTTGCCCGGGGGTGGTTTGTGCAGCAGGAAATAGGGATGATCCATGTCCAGCCTTCTCCATCAGGTGTCGCTGGCTGACCTCAGCATGTGCCGAGGGCCAGCAGCAGCCCACTAATCCTCAAGTTGAAGTCTTTGTGAACACCTGTTCAAAAGACATAAAGATGTAAGATCATTCAGATTGTTCTCATTAATGTGTCAGCTTTCTAATCCTGTATTTTATCAACTCTAAGCTTCCTGCAGAGACCCTCAGGTTTGACGGGGTAGAATGCCAATTAACAGGAACAACTGCAGCAAAGTTAGGGTAGCTTTGTGCATCCAGCCTTGCCAAGAATCGAGTTCATTCTGAGATCTCCTCTGAAGTAGTGAGGACTCTCTGAGCAGGCTGTGTACACCTCTGGGGGGATGTCGAGAGAAACTAAGGTGTGTTTTACAGACAGAAGAGAGGGAAGAGGAACAGTACTTATCTGGGGACAAGGAAACGTTTTCTTGTGTGGGTTGAATATAACACTGTAACATCTGAATTCCACAGGTAGTAAGGGTCCATTTGTGATTTTAAAAAAGTATTTGAAACAATTTATGGGCTCTGAAGTTTCAACATCAAGAAAGTGAATGTGACTTTTCTAAACTGTTGTGACTTTTGGGCACTTAGCAGGCAAACTGGGAAAGCTTTTTTTTAGCTGGCTGCTGTACAGACTTGTTTTAAGTAGAATGGATTTGTTAGTGGGGTTTTTTTTTATTGTAATGCTATTATTGGCTGCCCTCATGTCTAAGATTTGAAAAAGTGAGTGCATGCAATGGAAGTACAAGAGGCCCCAGTAATAGTTCTCCATGTTTGTTATGAAATAGACACAGGTTTCCTTTTTATGACTTTTCTTAAAACTGTCTTACGAACAGTTGTATTGGTACTTTTTTTAAGTTTAGGTCAATGTTGTCTTCCAGAATAAGTTTTAAGGCATCACTCGCTCCTGCATTGAACTATTGCATCAACACAAAGAGTGGAGATTCCATTCTGAGCCAGTTCAATTGTGAAAATTCATACTTTTTTATTTTTTATGCAATTCAATGAGTAGATGAGCTCAGATTTAAATTCTTAAAAGCACGTTTATTGTAACAAGAATTGTTATGTATTAATACTTCAGTTTTCAATAAAGATTGACTTGTGTTGCTTATTGTGGTTTTTTTCCTACTGTCTTTGGTGACACCCTTTTAGGAAAGATTCTGTTGCTGGAGAGCCGTACGGTATGGTTAAACTCTTGAAGCTAACGAAACCTGGTAATTGGTCAAAGCAAAGCAAAACGTTGAAATGGTTAAGTGACTTTCCTCAGTAAGGTTTCTCAATGGCTTACAAAACACAGAAGTAAAGGCTTCCCAGTGGGGAATAAGCTGCCCTAAGTTGCCCTGCCTGAGAGTATGGGAAAGATGGTGCAGCCCTGCCTCATTCCCTTTTGAAGCGTTTCCTGGGGTTTGAGTTTTTTATTACTTTATAGCTTAAAGAAAGTAGAGTAAATGTAAAATTTCACAACGCTGTAGCATTTACTTGATACCAAATCAATGCTGTTTCAGAGGTGACAGGCCTTGAGCAGAAAGCTGTTCTAAATCGCTGTCCTGAGTGTTCCCCAGGAGGAAAAGAATTGAGTAGGTGTGAGGTGTGGGTAATTATCCTGTTTCTTTAGAGTGTGGGTAGATGTAATACGACACTAATCTTAAAACGCAAGTTTGTATATTTGTGGGGGGGACAGGACTACACTACTTGAACTAACCGGCTATTTTCATTTATTGTAGGTCTCCAAAAATAACAATAACTTACCTGGTAATGTTCCTGTGAAAAGCAGCACATGTGGAAGAGGAAGGTATAACGTCAATAACTGCATCGATCCATGGAAACAGAGTTTGATTTTTGAGATTATTGCTACAGGTGGTTTTTGTTGTTCAGTC